TGGGGTCACTGGCTGGAGAGGCAGAGACAGAAAGCGAGAAGTCACCCCCCAGAGGAGACGACCACACTGCAATCCCTTCTCCTCCATTCTCCTCTCGGGATTTTGGGCATGCATGCACACCCACACACTCGGCGTGAGTTTAAGCCACCAGGTCTGGGACTCAAACCATGGTCAACTACGTGAGAGTCCAGAGATGCAACCATTATGCCGTCTGCTGGTCCCCATTTGTAGTTTTTATTTTATCATTCAAATTGTTGCATATTTCAGTCACTGTGAAAGAAGGGAAGCTGTGAGTTACAGGTGCTCATTTTAAAAAAAGGAGACTTCTAGGATCTTCTCCTCTCTTATATAGATAGGTGTATGACAAATATGTTGGCCCAGACTTTTTTTTTTTTTTTTTTGAGAGGTTTTTGTTATAGGGCACATGCGCTCGCCCCAAAGAACAATCGCCACAAAGACAGAGACAGAGAGACAGAAAACGAGAAATCATCCCCCAGTGGGGATGGCCATGCCACAATCCCTTCTTCTCCATTCTCCTCTTAGGATCTTGGACATGCCGCACATGCACCGAGCATGAGTTTAAACCACCGGGTCCAGGACTCGACTTGCGGTCGGCTACATGGGAGTCCAGCGACATAGCCATCACACTAACTGCTGGTCCCGGCCTTGACTATTCTTATTGGCATAAATCAATATAATCCACGTATGCTGGTTAGAAAAGTTGATCCGAGGGCCAGCCAGCGGCCTGGTGGAGAAGGCTGCAGAATCCCACGTGGTGGACCATGAGGCTTGAGCCCCAGGCCCTGCAGCTTGAGAAACACTCTAGGTACATGGGCATACATGCCCCAAATCCCGACAGGATGGAGAAATTGAGGAGAAAGGGTTGCAGCCTGACTATCCTCCCTCATGGGGGTACTTTCTCACTTTCCCTCCCTTTCTCTCTCTGTTTCTATCCCAAGAGTTAATACCTCTGCCAAAATTGAAATAAAAAAAGTCAAGCTGGGAACCAGCAGTTAGCGTAATGGCTATGTCGCTGGATTCCCATGTAGTCGACCGCAGTTCGTGTCCTGGACCCGGTGGCTTAAAACACACGCCGGGCGCATGTGCATGCGTGCCCAAGATCCCGAGAGGAGAATGGAGGAGAAGGGATTGTGGCATGACCATCCCCCCTGGGGGGGGATTTCTCGCTTTCTGTCTCTATGTCTCTCTCTCTGTCTGTCTGGCGAGCGCACGCGCCCTACAGTGAAAATCTCTCCCAAAAAAAAAAAAAAAAAAGTCAAGCTGAGCAGAAAGATAAAGAAACAAGATGGAAAGTAGAACCCTCCCCCTCCACCCTTCGATGTCTGTGAGTTCCCTGCAGACTCCCCCCCATGTTCACACCATCAGGTATCCCGCCCCGACTCCCACACAGAGACGTGCTTGTAAAATAGCATTGTAGACGGAGCTGCATGATAAGCATTGCTCTGCACTGGGGTGAGGGTGGGGGCCCCTTTTTCTAGAGCTGACGACCTTGGAGGGAGGAGGAGGTTCGTGCCAGCACTCCAGGGTCGGAGAGTTGTGATATCAGCAGGGAGGAATGGCTAAGGGTGCAAAGCCAACAGAAGGGGGGAAATGGAGAGAGCTTTGGACAATCGCTGCTAGGAAATAAGCCAGACCGTGGTGAGGTAATGCATGTGCTCGCTGCTGTGGTTTGTTAAAGTTATAAGACTCTGGGGACTTGGGGGTTGGGGTGGAAGGGACTGCTCCATGCCTGAGAGGTGGAGCCTAGAGCCTTGGAAAGGAGCCTTGTGTTTGTGTTAGGGCTGATTCTCTGTCCTGGTCTGAAAGTGTCACATCTTCACTCACAGACGTGACCCTGATTTGACATCTGAGGTCTGTTTGAGTGAAAAGGCTGGCTTTTGATGAGGGGCTCCCTCCTGAACTAGCTGCACGTCTGTCAGATTATTCGTACTCCCTGGGCCTCAGTTTCTCTAGATTGGAATGATCTCTGAGGCCGTTTTTAGGGGTGTTCTTGAATGGAGGAGTCCGACCCGGCGGGGCTCCAGGACCCATCTGAGCCCCTTGACCTTTGAGCATCGCTTCCGGTCGGTTCAGTGAGCTGACAAGGCCGCGACTGTACGCCCCCCGACCATGGAACAAGCTTGGGTCACTTAGCTTGTTGGCAAGGCCGCCTGCTATTCGCTCCGGGACTGTGATAGCCTTGCTGGGAAGTGACCCCCCTCTGACTCCCCGATATATTACTAGGACTCTGAGCCAGAAGACTTAGGCCAGTTTCCTTAGCCATCCTGTGCCTATTTCTGTAGCTGTAAAATGGGCTTAATTATGCCCCCCATGGAGTGGGCGTGATGATCAAAAGAGGAGAACGTGCTCCATTAACTGCAAAGCACTGAGCAAGCGTTAATTTGCTAGACCGGTGGAGGCTGGGACTCGCTGGAATTCTCCTATAGGCCCCTGGCTTCCTCTCAGAGCAGAGAACCTATGACTAAGACATCATTTCTTTTCCTTTTAAAATCAACTTCATTTTTATTTTATTTTATTTTAATCTGCTATAGAGTGCATACAGTCACCTGAGAAGCGAAGAGAAAGTGAGAAAGCACCTCCTGGGGGCATGGTCGCACCGCAATCCCTTTGCCTTCATTGTCCTCTTGGGATTTTGGGGACACACACACACACACACACACACACACACACACACGCGCGCGCGCGCATGCATGGCCGGCATGGTTTTCAAGCCACTGGGTTCAGGACCTGAATTGCACTGCTGGCCATGTGAGATCCAGCCGTCTTAACCACCACACCACCCGCTGTTCCTAAAATCGACTTTATTGAAGGGTGACTTGCATGACATACATGACACTCGTTCCGCGTGGACAGTTCAGTAGGCTCTGATGAATGCACATGTCCTTGTCAGCGCCACTCGAGTCAAGATACAGACACTTTCATCACCTGACGTCTCTGTGACCCCTTTCAATACTCCCACCTCCAGTCCTAGGCTCTGCCAGTACAGTCACGTTCTGTCCTTTCCAGAATTCCATGCAGTCTCTGGAGTCTGGCTTCCTACCTTTAGCGTGATGCTCCCGAGACCCACCCATGTTGCAAGCATCAGCAGCTGGCTCCTTGTTGGTGCAGAGCAGGTACCTCCTGTTTGGATGCCCTGAGAGAGCATTTGGTGATACAAAGCCAACAATGCATTCTCTCTGGTCTAGCAGCTGTAGGCCCCTCTAACTGATGGGGCTGTCCAGGAGGACACCTCTCTTTCCTCCTTAGGGACTCCCTGTCTTCATTCTGCAATCAGGAAGGAAAGCCTACAACATGAGGCTTCCCAAGCTCTGTTGTTCCTGAAGCTTCGCCCAGTGCTGGTTTCTCCTCTTCCCTCCACCTGGCTTTTTTTTTTTGACTTAGGATACAGCAAAATTACACCCTGCCAAGATCAAGGTTTTGTATGTTCATAAGGCTCTGGATAAAATGCAACCTACATCAGCAGGAGGGTAACCCGGTAAGTTGCTAGCAATCACTTTGAGAACACTAGTACACAATAATTTATCGGGCTGGGATCAGGTCCCCTAGCAAGGGCCTTGGTAGATGGGACCGAAACAGCTTGGTTTGACTGCATCAGGCCAGTCTGCACATGTAGGCAGCAAGATTCAGAAGTGAGTGGGCAGCCCTCGCCAGTGCAGCATTCTGGAAAATTCTGCACACCTTTGATCATATGCTTAGTTGGGTCCTTCCCTTCCCTTCTGGCCTGTGCTCCTACCTATCTGCTCTCTGATCCTGGTTTACCATCAGGCCACAGGGGCGGGGATAATGATAGTCACTGCTTATTACAGCACCTGCGATGCTGCTGGGGCACTTCCCATACATTGTTTCATTTACTTCTCACACCAACCCTTTGAGGAAGGTATTATTAGTCCCATTTTATAGGTGGAAAAATCTGAGGCACGAGGAGTTTAAGTAACTTGTTCAGAGTCACGCAGTTGCAGAACCAGGATTTGAACCCAGTTCTGACCCCTGGGCCTGTGGCGCTAATCTCTGAAGGTTTCAAGAAGCAAAGAAGTCAGGGGACACTGAGTTTTGTTTTACTGTCCCACCTTACCCCCTACCTAAGGGTGGCGAGTATCCTGATTTAAACCACCATGGATTAGATTCACCTATTCTCGAACTTTATAAAAAGGACTCCTCTGACACAGTTTCTGGGTTTGAGCTTTTCCATTGACCATGATGCGTGTGAGCTTTGTTCACACGGTTGTGCGCTGATTCATTCCCACTGCAGTGTAGTAGTCCAACGGATGAAGAATGCCTTATTGTAAAGACCTCTTGACCTGTGCCTAAATGTCCTACACTTGAATTGCTACATTGGGTGACTCCCATTGGTTTATCCAGCCTGTCTGGTGTCTCTGAAAGAGGCTTAGTGCTCCCAGAACGTAGTTCCATTTCCCAAGACTTTTTGCTCATCAGGTGGCACCTTGACTGGTTAGATAATACAGAGGCAGACTGTGAGCAGGGCCACTGGCCCCCTGTCAGTCCTCATCCCCTCCCACCCGCCTGCACCTTCCTCCCTTCTTCCATTCACGTTGCTGAGAGGGAAACAGTTGATGCTGTTTCGGTAGCTGGTTCTTCATGCCCAAAATAGGATTGTTTTGACATAGAGGCAGCTTGAAGTCTCAGAGGTGTCAGAAACAAAGTTATATATTAGAAGGTTTCAATATTATTGCTTAATAGCCAAGTGATCTTAGGTGAATCACTTAGCTTTCTTGAACCTCAGCTTCCTCATCTGCAAAAAGACGGGGATGGTGATAATGATGTTGATCACAGACACCTACCTCATAGTCCATGTGTCAAGTACAAAGATGAGACATTATGTGACGAAGACCTCCTGGGACCACCACACGACTTAATGGCTCATCTTTTTCATTTCTGTGACTTCCTGGGTAAGTTGGTTTGCAAGATAGTTTTTTTTTTTTGGAGAGGTTTTCGCTATAGGGTGTGTGCGCTCGCCAGACAGTCAGAGAGAGACAGAGAGACAGAAAGCGAGAAATCACCCCCCAGGGGGAATGGTCACGCCACAATCCCTTCTCCTCCATTCTCCTCTCGGGATCTTGGGCACGCACGCACACGTGCCCGGCATGAGTTTTAAGCCACGGGGTCCGGGACGCAAACCGTGGTCGACTACGTGGGAGTCCAGTGACATAGCCATTATGCTAACTGCTAGTGTCTGCTGAAGAAAAGAGGTTAGTGAGCGGCCTCAGCCCCTGGATTAAAAGGAAGGTTTTGGGGACCAGCCGTTGGCATAATGGCTATGTCGCTGGACTCCCATGTAGTCAACTGCGGTTAGAGTCCTGAACCCAGAGGCTTAAACTCACGCCAGGCGCGTGCATGCACATGCCCAAGATCAAAAGAGGAGAATAGAGGAGAAAGGATTGTGGCATGGCCATCCCCCCTGGGGGGGTGATTTCTCACTTTCTGTCTCTCTCTGTCTTTCTGGTGAGCACACACATCCTATAGTAAAAACCTCTCCAAAAAAAAAAGAGGTTTTGGAAGAAGCTCAGGTCTCACGATGAGGCAAGAGAAGACTAAAGAAGGAGCCAGGAGAAATTAGTCTTGATCCACTTATGTTTTGATGCATTATGAAAATAAATAGTAGCCTAACACTTGCAGGACATACCACATTCTTCCGGCACTTACTAATTTTTGAAAATCCTGCACCTATCTCTGCAACATTAACGATCTCCAACACATGTTGCTTGTTTGCAGGAAGGCAGTGGAGAAGCTTTGGATCTGAATCACATGGGCCTTGGAGAAGAGGAAACTCAGACCGAAGAATGGATGGAAGCAGCCCTGAAGAGGGCCATGGGCTTGTCTTGAGAGTCAGTGAGAGAGAAAAAGGGGGTCAAATGGGAATTTGCCCAGGGCTCAGCATTCTTTCCTGCTGTGTGTTTAGATAGGATACTTTATCCCCACACTTTTCTTATCCCTGTTCTTAACAGATCTTACACCAAAAAAATAAAAATAGAAAGAAAAAAGAAAAAAGAAAGCCAATTCCTAATCATCCTTTATTTTGCTTGATTTCTGAAGGTGTGAAATGAAACGTGGATAGCTCTGTCATGGGCAGGGGCCCTGGCTCTGAGGTCCTTGTGATAATATTTGTGTGTGTCTCGGGAGAAACCATCATGTAGCTCCCTTAACTTGTTTGTTTGACTGCCTGTGAAGATAGCGTTGCTACCCGAGAAGCTAATACGCCGCATTAATGCCTGGGCAGGTAGAAGGGAGGGAGCGAAAGGAAGAGAACAAATGTGTCTCAGTGAACTGGGGCATGTCAGAAATTTAATAAGAACAGGTTGAGACAAGCATTAAACACCAGAATCCCCCGGGAGCACAGCGATAGCTTGGTCCTTGTCAACGAGTTTACTGGTTGGCTCTCAGCAGGGAAAGAAAAAGTGGCAAATCAGCTATGTTTGGAAGTCCGTTTTAGTTTGGCTAGCCTGAGAGGAGAGGGCTGAGATAAACCATCAGCTTTTTCTCTGGAGTAGGTTAGCATAGTTTATTTGAAAAATGTACAACGCTATTTCTATTCCAGTCTAGGAGCCCTGAGCAGCCATCTGGGCTGTGAAATAGGTTGGTCTAACCCACACTGACCGTTGTAGGTTATTGGTCCTATGGTCTGGAGGAAATATTATATTCATGTCTTATGAAAGAAGAATCTGGTAAGTAAGTATAGGGCCTCTTAATTGGGCATAGATTAGATTTCTTTTGACTTTTGCTTTGAAGAAGTTATTTATAAAGAGATTCTAATAGGGCAATTTAAAATGTTCTCCCGTAAGTTCTAGTTGGAAACTTAGCATTACAAATAGTAAATGTATACGCACAGAAGCATGTATGTTTCCGCATACAGATTATGACTACCTCTGTGAAGACATAAAAGTACCCGTGCTTTCCAAATACATGCCCGAATTTGGAAGGAGCCCAGGCCATGGGTCGTAAAATATGAGGGCCATCTAGTGAACAAAGTTGGTAACTGCACCTATACAAATTCCGGTAGGCTTGCCCCAGGGGATTCTGTTTATAAAATCTTAGAATAATATGAGAATCTTTATCAACATGATATGAAAGTGACAGTGATTTTCACACAGTTCCCTTATTATAAAGATGGGTAGGTTCTCAGGGTAGAAAATAGCTTTCTTGACTTAGTCATCTTGTAATAACAGCCTTCCGACCAGGTGAGGGAAGAAGGGAGGGAGGGAAGGAAAGAGCGAGGGTGGGGCTTACTGTAAGGCTGTCTTACTCTCCCATTTCTGCTTTGGAGTCACAAAAAAATGACCTAGGAGACTGGCTGGGAGGAAAGGGCGATGGCTGTTTGCAGGGTGTCTGTTAGATGAGGAGCTGGGGAGTGCTCTCCCTCTGATTGAGCCACTTATATTGCAGCGGCCTGTCCTCTGCGTAGAACGCCATTAAGAAAAAAGTAGTCAAAGTATTTATTGTAGTTATCTTCCTTCCTTCCTTCCTCAAATAATTCTTGGGCAGTGCTACATAGTAGAGCTGAAAAAATACCTGACACCCATTGTACTGGGCGTTTAATTTACTGAGGAAGCTTTTGTGTGCTTTGAAAGGCACTAGGGTTAGTAGAAAGAGCATTCACAGCCTTTGGGTTAAGGAGAAGCTTGGATTTCTGCTTCCTAGGTGTAAGACCTTGGGCATTTTTCTTAACCTTTGTGAAACTGGGCTTCCTCTTATAGGAATGGGTTTATCTACTTTCCAGGGCACAGCTGTGGTGGAGGGTGCACTGCGTGAAAGGCAACTGTGGTAATCCCTAAGACAGAGGCAGAGGTGAACAGCCAGGCGATGCGGGAGGCCATTTTGGACAGGAACAATATGGCGGCCTTTGTGTTGGACTTGGTGGTCTGACTTCAATGGGGCAGTTTTTATCCATTCATTAAGCACAGATGTGTTGCGCTCTGGAGCTTTCTAAGTGTTGGGGGTACAGCGGTACATGACAACATAGACCTGGCCCACAAACCCCCACCCTTCCCTGGAATGGATCTGCCATTCCAGGGTGAGAAGCCACCAGACATAATGAAATAGCAAGATGTGTTTTCCAGGTGGTGACACTACTGTGAGAAAAAGCAGGGTTCGGGAACAGGAATGATACAATGAGGCTCTCTTATATATAGATACAGCAAGTTTTGAGCAGGGAGGGAAGGGAGTGAGCCACACAGATTACTGGAGGGAGGCATCTCCCAGGCCAAGGCCACAGCCCCAAGGCCAGGCTGGTTGCACTCAGGCTCTGAAGGGTAGTTCATGCAGGAGCAGGGGCAGGTGTTTGCGGTCAGAGTAAACAAGAGGGAGATGGTACGAGAGGGGCGCCGGGCAGGGAACTGCATATAAGGGGAAGTAAGGGGCCTTTCAGGCCTTTCTGCAGACTTGGGCTTTGACTTTGAGTGAGACCGGCTGACTGATGGGGCCTCAAGTCCAGATGAAGAGACTGTGGGCGTATCATAGATGGGCCAGGTGGACAAAAGCAGCTGCTCAGCCTGGCAGAGTTATTATTATTATTATTTATTAAAAAAAACACATGGGCCATTCAGTGGCATGGTGGCTGATGCCACCAGATCCCACGTGGTTGACTGTGCAGTTTGAGTCATGAACCCAGTGGCCTGAAAAACAATCTGTGTGTATGTATGTGTATGTCCATAATCCTGAGAGGAGAATGGAAGAGAAGGGATTGTGGCATGGCCGGCCATTCCCCATGAGTGGGGTGATTTCTTACTTACCCCCTCTCTCTGTCTCTTTCTGGTGAGTGCACATACCCTCTAACAATCAATCAATAAACATTTAAAACCACATCTCAGTGTGAAGCTGGAGGTGCCAGGATACACTTCTTCCCTCTTGGATAATGCTTTAAAGGCAATGACGATGGTTTAGATGGGCTAAGATTTTGGTTGGTAGGTGGGGAGGCAGTGAGAGGAGATTTTCAGGGGTGGGCTGGCAGTGGAGAGTGGGAGGCAGGGAAACTGAAAGGCCTGGAAGTGGGCAGCTAAGTCATGACAAAGGGTTGGTGATGTCTTCAGGGGCAGAACGCTGGTGGAAACCAGCCAAGGCAGTTTGCAGTCAGGTCCACCTTCTCTGCCTCCTTCCGCACCTTCTGTAAGAACGAAGTCGTGGCAGGTGTTCTGGGGTTAGCGCTCTGGGTTTCCCAGAAGGATAGGATGCTAGGGATCATTAGCCATGATGAGGCTAGTTTTTCGTTTCCTTCTGGGGCTTGTCCCTAGTAAGGGAACAAACCAATGATAATTTCAGCGAGGCTCTGAGATTTTTTTCTATTGTTTTCTCCACA